TAATTTAACAGTTACTTTATATATTTTTTCAACCTCCACAGATCGCATTAGGCCTTGCATTTGCGCATAAACGCCTTTATTGCCGCTTTACAATTCAGATGCAGATTCGATATTTTTATTTCTATTGCAAGGGAGTAACTGCAAAGTAACGATTCGTTACTTTTCGAGTAACTGTAACTGTAACGCGTTACTTTTCAGAATTGGTAACTTGTAACTGTAACTAGTTACATTGTTAGCGAAGAAACTGTAACTGTAACTAGTTACTTTTATAAAGTAACTTTCCCAACCCTGTGGGTACCTTAACTCGCGATTTAACGCGTTCGTCGTTGTGCCTGGCTCCCGTTTCTATCGCATCTCTCGACCCGTCTCGTTTTTCTGTTGCGCTCGCTCGCTCGCCCGCTGTGGGCCCGAAAGGTTCGTTCAGGGAGCTCGTTTTTGAACAGTAGGAGTGCGAAACCAGCACGGCCGCTACAAGTGCAGAAATTTCTACCTTAAGGTTTGTTTTCTGTTCCTGCACGGGTAAACTAGTGCAATAAATTCACGCAAGACAAGTGTACAATTTCTCATTCTAGCTTACTGCACTAGTTCACCAGTGCAGGAATAGAAAAGAAACCTTTAGTCTCATAATCAGTTTACAAGGGCAATGACCTTCCCAAAATGGCGAGGAAAATGCTATACATACAGGGTGGTGTGCTAAAACTACCAGATATCCTTTTAATCATATAGATTCTTTAGAAAATTTCAAGACGGAAATTCTAATACGAAAATGTCGAGGCTATTTAATATCGATGACACAATAATTTTATTAATTTGTCTGGAAAGGACCATAATCTGCATGGTCGAAACGTCGGAATTAAATGAACCATCTGCCAGCCTACTGTCGTTCAACAATTCTTTCTGTCGTTAATTAACTACTGGCGATTACCATAGTCTTTCGTTGATATTCGTATATCAATCTTGTGCTCTAATAATGCGTCACTGCACATATCCGTGAGCAAAAGGTATAATCTCTCGCACGATAGACTGTATTCCCGAAATTTATCATACTATAAAACGTCGGACAACACACACGACTGCGTGTGTACATATCATTATAGCATATCAATATAAATCAATAATTGTCACATATATAAATATGTTACATTGAGGTGAAACGAGAGGAAATAATATTTATTTTTACGAAGTGAAATCAACGTGTCTTCGACACTGTATAAATATAGCTGCACTAACGAAAAGCAAAAAGTTAATATTTTATAGTAGATAAATGATGGACGGTTTTCCTCCTACACATGTATGCGTCTAACTTAACGGATTTAATTTGATGTACGAAACGTGGGTTTATTCATCGAGTTGGCGAATTAATGAAGTTCGCGGAGACACCGTGCGAGAAATGGAAAGATTATAATTTTTAATCGTTATCGATCCTTATTATCCTATATCCTATATATCCTTCACGAAAGTATGTACCTGACACTCAATCTTTCTCGAAGTTCCCGATCGCCTCACTGATTGTGAGACGACTCACAGATGCTGATGACCTCGCGCAAGGCCGCGCGGATGTGTGCGCGCGTTCGCTTGCGTGCCGACGCACGCACGTGCGTGGCCGCGTCTCATACCTGCGTGTGATCCGTGTCGAGAGGAAAGGACGTTTCGTGTTCCGATTTGAATACGATTCCATGCCGCGAATTTTTCGAGATAAACGCCCTATCAGTCGTTTCCGTTTCCTCTACAGTCGTCTGGCACGCATCGCTTACGCATGGTTGCTCCACGGGGCAACCGTGGACACCAGCAGACGCATGTATCGCGGATATTTGCAGCTACTTCTGTCTGGCTAGACGACACGTCTGCCTAAGCTGCGTATTTCGCTAACTGTCAACTATGCGCGAAAGATAAGGCAAAAATGACCAGACGGATTGTGTTTCAAGAACTGATGGCGATTTCGGTTTCCGTCGCTACTTTGTGATGGAAGATATACGAAGCCACTTCTTTCAATCAATGACGATAGTTTATCTACTCTTTTTTTTGTCTACCCTAATGGGGACGCTTTTTCGATTTTGCGTCGATTTAGCATACGCTATCGAAAACTTTCGCTATTCTTTTTAGGTATAGTGAAATGGGTCCTTAGGGTTTATTAGAGCCTAGACATATAATATAGACTCAGCATACCTTCTTGGCAACGACATTACAGCCTTGGCCAAAAATATTTGCCACCTTATATTATATGTGAAACCTAAATTTTTAACTTTTACTTTACATTCAAGTTAAATAAACAATACCAGTTGATGAAAATGGCAATATTTATTGCGTGCCAATACGCAACAATAACAAAATAGAGTCAAAAGAAGTTACATTTCTAAGAATTAAGGGGGGGGGGGGTGACAAATACTTTGGCCAAGGCTGTAGAGTGATGCTGCTGATTCTTTAGCATATGTTGTCGAAAACTTTCGCTATTCTTTTTAGGTATGGTGAAATAGGTCCTTAGGGTTTATTAGAGCCTAGACATATAATATAGATTCAGTATACCTTCTTGGCAACGACATTACAGCCTTCTCAGCTACAGAATCGCACTACAGGACGGACTGGTGGGTAAAAGGGCCAACTAAAATACAGGGTTGGGAAAGTTACTTTATAAAAGTAACTAGTTACAGTTACAGTTTTTTCGCTAACAATGTAACTAGTTACCAATTCTGCAAATTAACGCGTTACAGTTACTTGAAAAGTAACGAATCGTTACTTTGCAGTTACTCCCTTGCAATAGAAATAAAAAAATATCGAATCTGCATCTGAATTGTAAAGCGGCGACCTTAGCGGAAAAGATTTCTATAAATAACTACAAAAAATTGACTTGAAATAGAAATTTGTAGAAATGTTTATATCTTCGTTGAAACATTTATTTCTTGGTAAAAATATCTATAAAATAGTATCACAAATTACAATGTTCTCAAATCAAGAAATTATTGCAAGTAGTATTTCATGAAAATGTACAATTTTGTAAAAATTAATACAAAACTTTACTAGTTTAAAAAATTTGAGAAACAACGAAATCTTAAAGAATTAAAACATCTGCTTACTTGTAGAATATTACAAAAATTAATAAAAGTGTTCCAATTCTAGCATTTTTATGTTGATTTTTATTTTTATAAACACTTTTTAAATTTACGTAGAATTTCTTAGATCCTGGTAGTTATATTTAATTTTTTTGTAGAACTTTGTAGAATTATTTCCGACAGGGGATAAAGGCGTTTATGCGCAAATGCCAGGCCTAATGCGATCTGTGGAGGTTGAAAAAATATATAAAGTAACTGTTAAATTAGTTACTAGTTAACGAAAAAATGTAACTGAGTTAAGTTACAGTTACAGATGTAGAGAAAGTAACGAAGTTAAGTTAGAGTTACCAAAAAGAAATAACTGTAACTGTAACTTCGTTACAAGTAACGAACGAGTTACTTCCCAACCCTGCTAAAATAGCAGATCTATCAAGTTAAGTTGATTGTACTGGGAGTGACACAAAAAGTGTCGAAGTGTCTACAATTTGGATTAAAATCGTAATAACAATGAAATTCACGCAAAAATAATAATGTTTTTTACTTTTACTGCCCTTTTGCCATTTTTTGATATGTTTGAGAGCCTAATTTATTTGTTTTAAAATTAAATTTATTTCTAAATAAGTAAAAGTTTGATGAATATTAGAATTCCCCGAAACTGGGGGAGACCCTATATCCGGTACTGGGTGACTAACGCACTAGACAAAATTTTTTCGTCTTTAAGTGTAAATGAAATTATTATAAATTCTATTTTATTACGTATGCGACTGATATATTAAGGAATATAACCAGCAATAACAAATCCCTGCCCTTGAACAGATATTAAATACAATTGCCAGAAAAAAAGTCGTAGCACTGATTACTTCATGCTAATCTCAATTAACATATGTTAATTCGATCAGAAACCGCTCATAACTCGCAGCATGTCATGGATAATATTTAATTTTTCATGTTTGTAATATATTATTAATTTAATAATTAATAATATACTATTAATAATAAAAACGATTAAGGAAACCGACTAGCAAATTCTAATTAAAGAAATTCTAAGAAAAATGTTACCTGAGCCGAAGTTTAAGCCGGGACCTTGTTCGTACTAGGTGGGCGTCTCATCAATTCTGCTACCGAGAAATGCTTAACATATGAAACGCCCTCCTGGTGAGAATTAGGTGCACATTTATATCCTAGCTGAGAAGTATCTAACATTTTTCGCAGTGAATTTCTTTAATTAGAATTTGCCAGTCGTGTCGATTATTGGTGTCCTACGTTGTTAATTGTTTACTGTAATAAGTCTTTATTCTTGTTAAAACAATTACGTTTTTCTAAATTTATTTATCTTTTTAATTACAGATCGATTATCTGTCATCCGTTACATGTTTAAATACTTTTATTTTTCGTTAAAAAGTTTTCAATACTATTATGTAATCTGCAATCATTACCAGTAGTGCGTGTTATATTTCGATTTTAATGTCGTTCTAAGGGGCATTCATAGTTTATCGAAAATTTACGAAAAGCAGGAACCCTCTGCCGTTGATTATCAAGGCGATGCGCAGCAAGATTTCCAAAAGCAACAGGACATTACTCAAGCCCATGACGGTGACGGGAGTTCAGTATTGAGACCTCAAGTCGAAGTAATTGAATCGCAGATTCCTTCGCGGATGAGCGTGAGCGTTGCAGAGGAAACCATATTTACGAATACAACACGGCTTCCATTGCGGTCCTTGAGAAACTGGCGGTACGATGCAGATGTGACGTGGCGAGCTACTAGGGCAGACGAATCTAGGTGGACGTGATTCTTCCGGTGGACTAGGTCGCATTGGGCATCCTGAACACGGCTGATAAGACTGGTCACGTTAAATAAACATTCAATAAAATACTCTTTTTAACGATACTCTCAAATATGATCAAAGATTACATAGTTGATTTATTTTAATATCTAATTTAATGTCTAACCCGTTCTCTTCACGAGCTTGAAATTAATGAAAGACAAACTGTTTTGCATAACACAACCGTTGTTAAAAATAGGTTAGATAAGTACGACTACAAATTTAATTGATTTGATAATAAGACATTTTGACATATCCGGTCGATTAATTTCAGTAATAACAGATAGATAATGTCAGCTAAATATAAAATGCACATTGCATGCCTCGCAATCATTAGCGAAACAATCATTTCACTTAATTACAGACATTTTATAAATAACGTCTCATTTTGTACGGTATTGATTATTGATTGCTTACCATGATTTAACTGCATAGGAAACGTTTGATTTGCAAAAATTTTTAAGAGATGTTTTGGCGCACGAAAGTCATGATCAAAATTATTATCTCACCTCTCGTTTCCATACCATTACCATCGATACTCGCGAGTCATTTCTTTTTTTTTCCGTCTTATTCGGAATTATCAGTTAAAGTGTGACCTTGGAAGACTGCGAGGATTGGACCTGCGAGACCCGACCTGCATTAACGTATGGTACGTTACGTGGCAATATTTCGGCGGAATTCGCAACGAGACCTTGGCTCCGAAACACCAAAACACAGATTCCGCGACAGGCCAACTTTTCTTTTCCCTTTCTATTTTTCGTTTTTCTTCTTATTACAGTCGTTTTATTACAGTTCGCTTTTGTCCAAGTTTCCTTAGGTAGGAGCCTGCCAACTCGCGTTCGTTAGCTGACCCGAAAGTAATTTACGCTGGCTGGCACCCAAATCTTTCGCGTATTATAACACGCGCGAATACACAAAGATATTATTATCGCGAATGAAATTATTATCGCGATCGTTTTTTTGTATTATAAGTTTTTATATTATATTGTAAGTCATATTGATAACGTTTATTTTTTAATGCGATAAAGAGAACGATAAATCATAGGAAATTTTTGCCAGCATCTATTTCTTCTGACACCTTAGAAAATATTTTATGAACTTTATTTTATAAAATGGTTGAAAATTAAGAAAACTTCGATAAAATAACAAATGTAATTCTTAAAAATTGATGCAAGAGGCTAAGTTTGCCACGTAACTGCTCTAACGTTTGCAAATGTATATTAGGAGTCTGCTGCAATATTCAGTCTTGATAAATCCAATGTCAAGATTGCTTTCCGGCACTTTTTGGCAATAGAAAAGTGTGAAGCATATTGAAGGCTAGATGTACAGCAAATGCAAGTATTAGATTTCATGTAATTTAAATTTTCTCTCCCTTCACACTCGAATTGGCCAACTTTATTATTTTAATGTATTTATTAAAAGAAAACGGCGCACAGGACAAGGTGGAGAACGGTATATGAATTCACATCTTAGATTATTATTGGGCTACCAACATCTTGCTTGGACCTAAAGGCGCTCACGTTTGTTTCATTTATGGTTTTGTAACTTTCTCTATAAATAACATGGTCGAGAAAACAGGAAAATGACGACTATGATAACACAAGAATTCAATAAGCCAAGAATATAATCAACAAGGAAAGAACGATGTATCCGAGAAACAGTCGGCAGATTGTGCAAGATGCCCAAACAGACTTTAGAATATCATCGGAGGGGGTGGGGGGAGAGACGACTCAGGGGACCTGTAGAAGACAGGACAAAGATCGCGGGTGGTACAAGTAAACGGGCCCAAGGTTACCGCATGAACATTGCCCTAATACCCAGATACATATGATTAAGGTGTCCAAGCGGCCACGAGTTATACACCTAAGTGAGACAGCTTCTCGGCCTCTCTTCGACAACACGCTTGCGTAAGACCTACGAATTTTCACGCGTGTCTGCGTCCGTGTAACGCAATTCGACATTTGGATGTTATCGATCACTTCGCAAAGTGCATTTGTCGGTCGGTTCACATTTCGGAGGAAAAGAAAGAAAAGAATTTTAAGAAAGGAATTTCATTATATGTATCGCTATCGGGCATGCTAATGTATTAATAAATTAACTGCCGTGGTTGTATTGTCATTCATAATGGATTTAACATACAAATCGATATTCATTAAGCTTCTAATGATGCATTCTACTATCTAACAAATGCATCCTTTTATCAATTTTCCTGTTTTTATGACCCAAACTCTCCTTTTTTTAAAACATTTACACAAGTTGTACATTTATATATCTTTCCTGTATTATATAATATATTATTAATTATTTATCGCCTTAGATAATGACTTTCGCAATGGTACTAAAAGTATATCAGAAGAAAATTTACCGCGGATATGGATCCTGTCTTTCCTCCCTGCTTTTTGTTACAACGCTATTTTGAAACCGCTTTCACAGTTTTGCCAGGTTTAGAATTAAACACACGATAGCTGTAACTGAAATCCGCGCGACTTCCGCGCGCGATTATCGTGCGGGGCGGCCGACGCACGACGTCTTATCGGAAGCGAGACGCAGGTGTCCTTTCCATCTCGAGAATACTCAGCAGCGCGAGTAAGGGTTAACGATCTTCCCCTTTCGATGTATGTACGCACGCGAGGGAGATACGGCGTCGCGGCCTGAGCGTCTGTCGTCGTCGGCGTTCCAGGATGACGAGCTTCTTGCTAATCGCTGGTGTCGGTGGCCGCGCTCGAGGTCTCCCGTTGGATTCTTATGTGCGTCACGCGATTCCACGACTCTAATTGTATGCCGACGCGTTCGAATAATTTTGCGTTAGAGACGACGAGGAAGAGGGAGGAGGACGACGACTGTAGCAGACGTCGGCTGGTTGGCGGGGGAAGAGCGGGGGCCGAGAGGCAGCTCGACGGCATATTAAAAAATTCCTTTGGCATGAATGGACTTCCGATCTACCGAAAGGGTGTAGAGGGATCGGCTCTGTCTACGGGGTACTGGCGCGGCTCCCGACGATGTGAATGAGTTTACGTGAGCGTGAGAAAGAGGTGGAATTTCATAGGAATGTGAAAAGGATACTTTGTAAGTAAAGCGAACTTTTGTTTGACGGAGAAGTCGAAAATCTTGGGTACCTTTCTAAGAAGGTCGATTCGCAGCATCAGCCTGAGAAGATCGTGAGAGATAAATTGAAATGAATATTAACAAGTTTTTCGAGAAGTATATACGATTTGAATGTGTAAGAAGCACCGGCGGAAGAAGCGGTCGTGAATCGTGGGTGACGGGTTCGGCTTATTCTTGAATGAAATTCTTGACTACTCGTTAAGATACAAATTATATATCCCGCATGCACTTTGCTGCGTTTGACGATTCAGAGTGCATACGCGTGCACTCCGGATATCGCTTAGGAAACGCATAACAATTTCTTCCGCGAAGACCCTCGCGCGACGAAGCGTATGGAGATAATGTCGTTGTGGCTATGCGATAATTATGGGAAAATAAAAAGTTAATTAATCGCGTGTAGACGCAGACGGATGAATCAGCGTCAAAGTATCCACAGCGGGATATAGATAATTAGTATCATTTCAACACGACTCTGAATGTCTTCCGATAATATCCTAATGTTCATTGAGACGTCGAAGCGCGTCAGTACAATCGTTCTCGTTTCAAAAATATCTATATCGCTTTTTTTCATACACTTATTATCCCTGCATGTAGGTCAGGATAGTTCGAAATCCAGGGTCACTCGCTGATACTTACGCGCGCATAAATAATTATTCCGGTTGTGTCGAATTAAATAATTGCGCCACGAGCGTCGCGTCGCATTTTTATTGCGCTCGCGTCGTGCATTCGCGGGAGTGTACAAATACGAGGGCCGTTTGATAAGTCAGTGACTTTTACAAGAGATGGCACTCAAATTGCAGTCTCTAATTTTGCTTCTGATATTTGCCATCTTATTCAAGTATACACACAAAGTTTCAAGTAGATCTGTCAAGTAGAAATTTTTTCGCAGCGTTCTAAAGCGGATAAATTTCTGTTCTTTTACTAAAATGGAAAAAAATGGATTCCGTGTGCTAATAAAACATCACTTTTCGCGTGGAAAAAACCACTAAGGAAACTGTAACCGTAGATAAAATATGTATTCATTATTACAAATGAACGAGAAGATCCGAGTTGAAATCCACGAACACCGCTGATGTTTTCGAACGTTACCTCTCGAAGGGAAGTGGTAACCACCGAGAGTATTCTGCCACACACATATCCCTTCTTCCTCCGAAAAGGGGGTTGGCGAGAGGCTAACAAACCCTCACCGTAAAAATTCACTGTTGCGAATACACGCAATGAGTCTCGGATGGAGGCAATTTGTTGTGAAGGCCAGAGCCCACTTGGGGCTGTAGATCCGGTTATTATTATTATATCCATTATTACACTCCAGAAACGAAGGAGCAGTCAAAATGTATCTCTCCCAGTGAACGTGCTCCGAAAAAGGCAAAAACGGTTCCTTCGGCCAGAGAGGCCATGGCCGCTTTAGAACGCTGTGAAAAATTTCTATTTGGCAGATCTACTTGAAACGTTGCGTGTATACTTAAATGGCAAATAATAGAAATAAAATTAGACTGCGCTTTCAAACAGACCTCGTACAGAATTGATCCTCAGGTAGTCTCTTTGACTTTCCGTGGTTCGTACCCTTGTACCTATATCTTTTGTTCTTCAAGAGCGTTAGAATTCCTCAGTAATATAAATTATTATCATCAGTGATTTTTATTGACCGTATCTGGCAATTTTTGCAATACAGAAAATTTATTGCCAAAAATATCACCTCAGCCAGGATTTGAACCTGGACGGAGCCTTCTCTCTAGGCGGGCGTCTCAAACAATTCGACCACCGAGGCATATAATTATAAAAAAATAACTTATTATGTTTTCCAAAGCCTTAGAATCAGTTTAAAAGGACAATGGCATGTAAAAAGAGCAAATTGGAAATTTGCACATTGCTTCCTCAACATCTGGACTATTTTTTTATTTTAAAGGTGCAAATTTTAAATTTGCAAAACGCAGCATCAGCATTTTGGCAAGTTGTTTTTCTTTTATAAGGTGCAAATTGGAAATTTGCAAAATGCAACATTAACATTTTGGCAAGTTGTCTATTCAAATTTGGCTTCCTCATAGAGGAAGCTTTGTGAGTTAATGTGCAAATTAAAAATTTGGACATTGCTCATTCTAACTTGTAAAAATTGGAAATTT